AATATTGCTTTGATGGACCTAGAAGGTATTTAAGTCAGACAGAGAAAGATAAACACTATATAATTTCACTTATATGCGGAATCTAAGGAATAAAAAGAACAAACTAATCAAAAACAGATTCACAAATATAGTGGACAATTTGGTGTTGGGCAGAGGGGAGGGAGGTTTGAGGGGCCAGGAGAATGGGGTGAAGGGCTAAAGAAGGATAAATTAGTAACTGATGGATGGTCACAGGGATGGGGAGCACAGCATAGAGAATGCAGTTAGCATTAATATGTTGGCTAGGTGGAGGGTCACGAGAGGGAGGGAGCAATTGGGAGGATCATTTTATGAACTATATAGATATCTAACCAATATACTGTATACTTGAAACTAAATAAAATAAATTAAGTAATTTTTAAAAATCCTAATATCTATAAAATATACATAAGCTGAAGTTTATTGAGATTTGCTTTATACATTCTAAATGTTTAACTTATTATGAACCAATTAATAAGAAACTAATAGGTAGTGTTGGTGAAATTCAGAAATTCAAAATCTTTGGTAATGCAATTAGATCTGCATCATCTTGCTATTTATTTCTCTACTTGATTGTACACATTCAAAAAAAAAATCTAATTCATAGCAGTAGGTAGCTATCAAAGGCAATATTTTGTTTGTTTTTCTCCAACAGCTCACCTTTTAAACTTAGGATATTGCTCATTTAAAGTCAGATAACAAGACCCAAATACAAACAAATTAATCCAGTACAAATTACTTGGTTTCCAGTCTCTTCTTGTTTAAAAATTAGTATGTAATTTAGTTTCAGTGTGCATTTAATATCTATTTGTTTTAAATATAAAGTCAAAGCAAACAATTATATAATCTTTGAGACTCCCCCTCAAAATCCTGGTTCTATGTAATTGAGTTTGAAAACTAATACCTGGGTGCTAATGCCCAAACTCCTTAAGACGGCATACAAGATTCTGTGTCATTTGCACTTTATCTATCAATCAGCTGCATTCCCTACCAGTGTCAAAATTTCACTCAGTTTCCCAAGTCCATCTCCATCTTTCATAAGATTATACTTTTGCACTTGAGATATTCTCAACCAAATATGACTCTTGTACTACTGCCTTCTAACCTAAATTTCTATTAATTTTATTCCAAGGTTAAAATGTTAATGCCCCATGAAGGCTTCTTTGACTACCTCCAAAGCACCTTGTATATATCTCTATCATCAACATGTGTTGCCTTGTATGATAATCATTTCTTCCTCACAACTGTGACTTCTTGAAAAAGGACTAATTTAACCATCTTTGAGTTCTCAGGGACTTTCAAAGTTCCTGCTACCTAGTAATCACTCTTTAAATGTTTTGAATTAATTAGTATAAATTAATTAACATTAATTAATATAAAACTAGTAGAGTGATTATAGTGACTGAAACTGGAGATTGCATAAGACAGTCAACAGATAACCCACTTATTGAGTTGATATTTTAGGTTAAATAAGTACTAAGTAGAAATCACTCTTATAAATCATGCTAATTTTAATATTGATTTTATTTTTCTTTAATAATGACAACACTCACCAACAAAGGAAAGCAAGATCACCAGCAGGACAATGAGAGCACAGATACATGGAATCAGGACCAGCAATAGGAAACGAAGAATATTAGTAGTCGTCAGCTTCTGAGAGCAGCCATCATTTAGGTTATCTTCATCAGATACTAAGACCTAAAAAAAGAAGAATATAAAACATGGTTTTAGTATTACAAAGTAGCTCAATACATAGTGTGAAATTGTAGAGTATAGCTATCTATTTAGAGCCAAATCGTGTTAATAAATGAACACAAAATGGTACAACCACATTCAAGACAGAGCAAATCATCTATTTCTGAAATGTCTTTCAGGAATACATAAACTTTTCATGATATTCCATCTTGATTTTTTAAAACCTATTTGCCAGTTTGCTATTATTCCGAAAAGCTATAAATTACCATGGCAAGAACTCACCTTGGCCCAGAGCTATAAGCAAAGATTGTCTAGTACAGTGATAAGATATTGGTGAGTAGGTGTAGACAAGATGTTATCCAGACTCCATTGTTGTTTGTCTCATTAGTCCTAACCCAAATCTGCATTAATCTGGATAAAATAACTTCTCAGCCATTAATAATTCAGCAAGGTTGAATATTACTGACCATGTATTTAGTGACAAGTTGAACAATGAAAAAGAGCCTGTGTTATTGGCCAATTGAACAATGACAATCTCTCAGGACATTCTCTGCTGTCCACACAGCACTCACAGCCTATGCATTTATAGGAGGATGATGAGGTGCAACAGTGATGGTTCCGATACAGCTCTCGTTTTCAAATACTTTAAATTTTACTTAGTTCAATTTCTTGCCAGAAATGATATCTGGAAATTTATTTATTGCAAATAGCTAGTTTGGGGCAGTGACTTTTTCAACAGGAGTCTAAGATGGAATTAAAAGTGATTTGAGTCACTCACTATGAGCAACTCTTCTGATCCTCTTAACGAAGATATTTCTCATGGTTCTGTCTTGGACTTCTGACTCTCCTTGCATGTTCTCCTCTGACAGTTTCTTGAATGACAGAGCTTGAATGACAACCTCTGTTTAACTATCTTCTGAATCTCTCCTGAGTTCCAAACTCCCTTTCAAGTTACATCGTACATTTTCAATGCCTGGTGCTTAGCAGCATCTCCCCTACTCCTGTATCACTGCCATCAGCTTTTTACCATGCTTAGTTCTCTCTCAGTTATCTTTTTATCCATCCTGAAGCCTATATCCCACTTCAGCCACTGTCCTAGCTTTCTTCATTTTTCACATTCAAAATGCTCTGAGTTTTTAATATTTATTGTCCAAATTTCCTCACTTATTATTTACTCTTGAGGCCAATACCATTTGGCACCTGCTTCTGTCACTGCACCAAAACAGCTTTTGCTAGGGTTACCAATGACCTCCATGTTGCTACATCCAAATGGCATTTTCAGTCATCATTGTAATGACATCTCAGTATTGTTTGAGAGATCAAATTCTTGGTTAGACACTCCCATTTTTTTAAGCACTTTCTTCCTCTGATTTCTCGTTCTCCTACTTCTCTGGTCATTTCTTCTCACATTCACTCTCTCCAGCCAATGTCACCCACACAAATGGCATCAATTGCCAGCCCTAAACGTATGAATTAAATCTTTAAATAGCAACCTTTTCTCTGAGCTCTAGACCTTTGTATCCAACTGGCCATTTGACATCTCCTCAGTGGATATTGCAAAAATATCTCAAAACCAACAGGTCTGAAACCAAAGAAATCACCTTCACCCCCATATCTGGTATTCTTCCAGGGTTCTCTAACTCAGGGAAAAGTAATTGAGCATTTATCATGAGTCGAGCACTGTTTGGGCGCTTGAAATATATCACTGTGCAAAGCAAACATTTCCTCTTAGTAAACACTACCATCATATTTCACCTGGAAAACTGCAAATGCCTCCTCCTGTATGGTTTACCTATAATCTTTCTTGCACTCCCTAATTTGTTCTCTACACTACAGCCAGAGTGAGAAAGAGGCTGTGTGTATCACTGGATGATGAGAAAAGGCAACATGAAAAATTATCCCCAAACTGTACTAATTCAGGAGATTCAGAGCCCAGAACCAGAGCTGATCATAAGAACCATGTGCCCAATAGATTAGCAGAGATTTGGGGAAGGCTTTGACTTTCACAAAGATGTGTGGTCTTTTGACTTTCTTTTATTAAGATTTCAAGGGTCAAGTTGCCCATAGTTGATATTTTAGGTATATTAGTCTTTATCCTGTTCTACCTTCCTGCAGCATTTGACTATCAACACATGGTACATTCTCAGGGAAACTTCCACAGCAGCAATGGCAGAAACTGCTTGAGAATAAAGAGATCTCTGTTCATCAGCTCCTCAGATGGAAGATTCACTCTCAAGGTCAGGACTTACCCAAGAGCCAATGTACCAGAAATATCGGAGTAGGGATATTGGATGCCTCTCTAGGTAGCTTCACCCAGAGATATCTTAGCCATGGAAATAGCTACTAACGACCAGGCTAAAACAAAGCAAAAGTTCAGCCCAAAAGGAACCAAGTGCCTTCTTAGGAACAACAGACTTACCCTATCTCACAAATCCCCTCATTCAGAGTGGGAATAAGTGGATGAGAACTGAACACACTTGCTCTTAAACCTTTTTGATGGGTTATATAAGAACTAATTTTTAATCATTGGACCTTTCCACATGATAAATTTTACACATTAAATATAGAGCAGGGTCAGCAAACTACAGCCCCTGGGCCAAACCCAACCTACTGCCTGTTTTAGTACATAAAGTTTTATTGGCAGAGACCCATGTTCATTCATTTATATATTAT